ATTCTAATGCTGATGATTCCAGTATTCTGGTTGCAGTTAAAATTATAGGTCAAATTGAAGCTGTGCTGGTCAGTGAATTAGAAACAGTCAATGAGTGGATTGTCTGTAACAAGTTATATTAGTCAAAAATACGAGTACAGTCCAACCCCGTTTATTCGAAGTGCCTGGGACTGAAAATTTACTTCGAATAATCGATGGGTTCGAATAATCGAAATCGGAATATTGTGGTAGACGAAAACTACTCCACTTTGACTAATCATAGCAAAACTACCGTTTACAACACACTGACTTCCTGCAATCAATTGAGAAAAATAAAAATTAAAGAAAAGATGCGTTAAAATATTTTATTGGCATTGAAGACATAAATACTTGCATTTTATTCTACATTACATGTATCGTTTCGTTTCGTTGGAACCCATACGACCAGCGATCCTTAGTTGCTAGTTTGACGCGTTTATCACTCAGCAATGCTACTTCAAAACAATTTATCTAGTTTAATATATGTACAAAGCTGTTAATAATTTTAGTTTGTTTGTTTGCATGTTTGATAAATTTAATAAGTTATTTGTGTCTCGGATCATACATGAATTCGTGATCCTAATATCGTTTTACAGATATTTATAGAAATTAAACTTGATATTTCTATCATAAGTTTATTTTTCTCTGATTCCACGATGTATAAAACCTTTGTATTTGTACGATGTTCTTAAAACATTTCTTACCAAGAATCCTGGAACAAAATTGATGTATAAACACTATCATCTATAAAAACACTTCATAAATTTGTTTGCTAATATTCTTTTGAGGAAATTATGCATAAAATAACGATAAATATTTTCCCATGATATCTTTTCCCAAATTGTGAGATTTGATTTGAATATTCAAATACCCAGTCGAATATATATCTTAATATAAAGTTGAAACATTTTATATTATATAACAAAAAGAAGATTAGTTCAATATCCTAGGGCAGCAATGGCTGAACTGTTGCATAATATTGTATATATGTCAACAATAGATTTTATATCCATTACCGGTGAATTTTCTTAAAGGAGTTACAGCTTTAGATAGATACATGCATTGTTCAGCAGTAATTATCAACATTAATTTACAAGAAAAAAAAATAAATAAAATAATGGCAAATGGGAAAAATTGAAAAGCTTGGGTCTTCCAGTTGCACCTCAAAAGAGAATATTTTATACTCGAGATATACTTTATAGGTTTATACACTTGTATGTATTTTTATTTACGAATAACACATACAGAACATGAATGTAGCAAAAAATAAAGAAAAAAGTATTTTAATAACTACCCGCCACCATTAAATAATGTGGTCCTCCGCCGCCTTGTCAGTAAAAAGGAAACACAGGAAACCTTTTATATATCTATATGAAAGGTGTATAATGTTTAATTCACCAGTCTTGTTAATCGACTTATCCTTTCTAACAATTATGCATGAAATATTGTTGCATCTCACTATATTGAATGGGCTAAGGACATCATTAACAAGTAAGGCCAATTTCTCTACACATGGTGTAAGGGAGAAAACTCCTAAGCCCATACTAGAAAGGTTGTCCATATGCGCTGAAGAGTAAACTCTCTTACAATAAATTGCATTTAATATATTAAGAAGCAATTGCTTATTTTTGACTTCCTTTACCTCTAAGACTTTTTGAGATCATTCCTAACACCATTCCTTAGTTTAAGCCAACATGCTTATTCTCCCTGTCAGAGTCTCTTTCTCCTCGTGGCAGATGTTTGATGATTGTTTTATTCTCTCTATAAATCACCGAGTCTATAATGTTCACCTTTTCGCTATTTCCATCTCCTCTATTATGATTTTTTTAACAAAGCAACTTTAATTTGTAATATAAAAGAAAGCAACTTTAAATTGTAATATAAGTGTAGAAGTGCCATTGAACCGAGCCTCAGACTTATAAGAAAATTTCTGCCTGGATCGCATACGCAAACCTCAGGCTTATACCAATGATTTCATGTCTAATGTATGTATACTTTATTGAAATAATGTTTCTTATTTTACTTCAAATTGATGTAGATACACTTGTGCAATATTATATTAGACTCGGGAGTAAAGTGTTTTTACAGCGATTGTCCATGATTACTTTGTGAGACAGTCCTTCTTTTTACTGGCAGAAAAGTTTTCTGTGAGGGATGTTTGACAAGTTTTGCAAACTTGGCATTTATTAACAATATTTTGGTAACGATATTTTGGTAAGTAATATAACAAAACACTTTTTTCAGGAGAGCTAAAATTATGCTAAAACGATAAAGCTTCCCAAAATCGAGCGTTTGACAACAACATCAGTCGCCGTATCATTGTAACGTACTGAAAACAGGTGGTGTATGATTGTCCATGTCACTACGGCTTTAATTAAACTGTGACTTTATTGTCTCATTAATTTCATTAACTTTCACTTGTAAATCAGTTATTTGTAACCATTCTCAAGAAACTATCCGGAAAATATATGTTATAAAAGTGAGACTTTGTTTAAAGGGCTGTTGCTTATGTTGTTGTAAGTTGTAGTCCAAGCCATTTGCACTATACTTATATATGTACCTTTGTTTTTGTTTTTTTATGTTATTCATATCTTACATGTATTATATATTTACAATAAAATGCAATAAAATGTTATTAAACTAAGTACATGTAAATTTATTTCACAATCATAAAACCAATGTTCTTGTTGTAAAAAAAAATCCAAGAATAAAGATCAATAAGGTAAAGGCAACGTTCACAGGACGCTGCCCCCCCCCCCCCGTCGGGACACACCCAAGTGGGGCACCCAAAAGGCACGAAACAGAAACCTGGAGTGGAGTAAACACAAGGGCGGCGAAAGGTGAGGTACATGTAATGTGTGAAATAATATAAACTAAAAAGGGCCCATATGGGAATTAAATGGATAAGGGCTGTAAGGGTGAAGAGAGGAGGGGGTAAAATAATGGGAGGTGGGTGAGAAGATAACTACCGTAAACGACAATCCAAGAAGGCAGACATCACAAAACATGTAAACATTCAAAAACAAGTAACAATACAGACAAGAAAAACACGTGAAAGATACCGCCTTGGAACGGTCAGTTGTAGTTAAACCACTGGGAAGTAATGAACGCTGAACATTCCAATCCCTTGTGTAAGATTATTGATTTTCTTTTATACGTTCAAAGATTGCCGGACCACTTGTTCTAATGTTCATACAGCTGTAAGATTCTATTTTGAGAATTACTACAGTACCACCAACTGCACGAATAAATACATTTTTTTACTGGACCTTTTCGGGTTTTGTGGTGCTTTTCGATATTTTGAAAATCCTATAAGGAAAGACAACTCCTGCAACATCAAGTTCAGAACAACAACACACATTGAGGTACGATGAGTTTTAAACCATTTGACAGTCTTTCAAAATGTTTACTTTCGTAAAAAAAGAACCTGGTAAAGCCATTGTACAAATTAAATTGTCTACATAAGAATGATGCATATAACCGACCGCATTTGCCACTGCAGGTTTCAGTAAAGGGTGACTGTCAATTCGGCCTTACACCAACTCGCCCCCACTCATCACGGGTCAACTCGTCTCTTTGAAAAAAAAATATAGGATAAAGATTATTTAGTTAATGACAGGTTTCAGTTAAATAACGATGCTAAGGGAAATAATATGAGAGTAGACAAAGCCTTTGAAACGGAAAGTAAAAAAAAAAAATTGTTCATTTTCTATTAGTTCATGCAGTGCTTCCATTTTCAATCAAAACATCTTGACGATTATTCTCAAGCCGAAAAGTTGCAATTGGTCTGTTATCGGAATACGGGTCCACCATTTTTTATTGAGTAACATTAAAAATGGTAGCGCCCAACAAGAAATGATACTGAAAATTTCACTGATAGGTATATATTGAGATTTAGGGTCAACTCAGCCCCAAAACTAACTCAGCCCTCGAGTCATCTCGGCCCTATACTGTTTCATATTTAATTCTACATTAAATATATATTGCAGGCAGTACCTTTAAACTTGATTGTTAGGCTCTGCCTACTTAATGTACTGACCATTTGACTTCATATTGTTAAATAGTCTTAGAAATAAACTCATAGTATCAACATCTCGTATTCTCTGCATCCACACCATAACAAACATAAAACATATACCAACATTGGTACGGGTCAACTCTGCCCCATAATTATATATTACTGGTTATTAGTAAATTAACATTAAACAATGTTCCAGTACTATCTATCGCAAATTTTCCCAAAACAAAAGTTATTTATAATAAAACTCTGTAGAATTAAAACAGTCATTGCTGCATCTGCCATAAAAATAGAGATATTTTCTGCATTAACTTATGTATTTACTTTATTTTTTACATTGAATTATTCATACAGTGATATTTAATTATTTTCTTACAAAGAAATAATTGTTTTATTACACTTTAATCCAAAAAAATGCCAAAAACATACAGATCATTACTACACGCCCTAAAGGTGAATTCCTCAGAGCTGTGTACAGAAAGTACCGGAAAACGGCATTAAGCTAGGTTTTCAAAATTCCTGAATATTGGACAAAAAATAACTTTTAATAATAAATGTTTTTTGTACCAGTTCTAATTTGAATAACGATAGGCTATGTTCTAGTCTGTCTTTTCTTAAATCACTTTTTCAGTTTCTATTGTGATTGTTAGTGAACTTCATTACTTTTACAGATTTATAGTAATTTATTACTACTCAAAAGTTAATTGACAAAACAATAAATATCCTTAAAGATTTCTTATAGAGGGCCAAGTTGACCAGTGCCGAGTTTGTATAGGGCCGAGTTGACCCTTTACCATATATTGAGGCTTAGTAAATTCAATCAGTCACAAAATAGAATTAAGCTATGTTAAGTATGGATAATTAGCCATGTTGTTGGTAAAAATAGCTGACACATTCCCCGAATCCTGTGCCCTGGAAATAACCAAAAATTATGGCATGTATGATTTATGTTAAACAAATATTTTCTTTATAAATTGTTTTTTTTATATTCCAGGCTATGATGTTTTCTACATATAAATGAGGACAAAATAAAGAAAAATGTCACATTTAAGGCTGTTGCTGTCAGCAGCTACCAAACAATATGCCAGTCTTACATTGAATAAGTGTTCAGGTATGCATTGTCTTTTATTGTGTCTAAATACACAGGTTCTTCAGTCTTCTTCAATAGATGATATTGGGTAAATAATTATAGAACTAAGTCATTGTTTAAACTAACCAAAATGGTAAAGTTTATGGAGACTGAACATGAGACCCATTTTAAAATGGGATCTTACATAGCTTGACTATTAAAAGAATAGAAGGGCTACAATCATAACAATATGTAGGTGTTGGCCCATGGGAAACACTTTGGTTAAAATTTTGCATGCAACATCATATTTTTGTGTCGCCTCTACGGAGTAGTGGCGACATATAGGGATCACTTCTCCGTCGTCTGTCTGTCCGTCTGTCTGTCTGTCCGTCCGTCCGTCACAAAACTTGTCCAGACTACTCCTCATAAACTACTGGTGCAATTTCATCCAAACTTTACAGGAATGATCAGTACCAAGTCTAGTTGTGCATATTGTCAGCATTTTCCGGTTCAATGATTTTTGTCAGAGTTATGGCCCTTTAATAATTTTTAATTTTAAAGTTTGTCCGGACTACTTCTCTTATACCACTAATGCAATTTAAATGAAACTTTACAGGATTGATCTGTAGCTCAAGTCCTTGCGCATATTGCAAGGGTTTTCCGGTTGAATGATTTTTGGCCGAGTTATGACCCTTTGATAAAAAGGTTTCTTTTTCTGTGTGTTGTCAGATACACAAAAGCTTGTCCGGACTACTCCTCATAAACTACAGGTGCAATTTCATCCAAACTTTACAGGAATGATCAGTACCAAGTCTAGTTGTGCATATTGTCAGCATTTTCCGGTTCAATGATTTTTGTTTGAGTTATGGCCCTTTAATAATTTTTATTTTTAAAGTTTGTCCGGACTACTTCTCTTATACCACTAATGCAATTTCAATGAAACTTTACAGGATTGATCTATAGCTCAAGTCCTTGCACATATTGCACGGGTTTTCCGGTTGAATGATTTTTGGCTGAGTTATGGCCCTTTGATAAAAAGGTGTTTTTTTTCTGTGTGTTGCCAGATACACAAAAGCTTGTCCGGACTACTCCTCATAAACTACTGGTGCAATTTTATTAAAACTTTACAGGAATGATCAGTACCAAGTCTAGTTGTGCACTGTCCGTCTGTCTGTCCGTCTGTCACAAAATTTGTCCCAACATGAAATTGGCCATCATGAGGCGACACATGTGATTACTGATCGCTCTTGTATCAACCACTAATGATGTTTGCGTGTAACTTAAAACACTTATTTGAGAGAGTAATAGGAGGCCATTGTTCATAACCCATAACTGTAGCATAGAATTATGTCCCTTTTAAATCCTCATGGTTAAAGTTTTGCATGCAACATCAATCCTCAAAACAACAAAAGGTATTTGTTGCATGATTTGAAACTTGCTACAAGTTTTGGGGATCATACATGAAAATCACTTTCTATGGCCCATATCTCGAATGTGGTTTTTTAAATGATGTGTAGCCCTTTCTGAGCTTAGAAAACTTTTGGTTAAAGTTTTGCAGGCAACATTTATCTATAAAAGAGCTATTGATTGTATTCACATGAATCTTGATTATGCCTTTTGAATTATAGTTCAAGGTCACTTTCAAATACCTACAGTATAACTCTGAAGTAGATTTTGAATGAAGTAAAGCCCTTTATGAACATCACAAAATTCTTTGGTCAGTATCCAAAATTCATAACAATGATCAACTGGTAGTAAATAAATTAAATACAAAGAATTATTTTATGCTTACTATTTTTCAGTTCCTGCACTTGTATTGAAAACAAATCTGCATGTATCATCATGTTTGAAGATGGATATATCTGGTATAACAGACGAACAAAGTGAACCTAACGAAACAAAGGAGAGCGACAACAAGGCAACATCTGTTAAGAAGGCGCCTAGAGATGCAGCTTTTCCAGATAGTCCTATCAATCCAGATTTCATGTAACTATTCTGCTACTATAACCATGCTTGTAACTTCCTGAGTCTGTTTAATTTATATGTTTTTACAATAAATATAATTAGCTTACTTTTTAGGGGCCCAGTGATGTTTTAAATTTAGAGGATTTGATTAGGTATAAGTTACACTAACACCATAATGGTCATATGGTGACTTCTCAGCTTTACTGGTGGAGGAAGACCTCGCATACACTTTCATGCATTATTTCAGGCATTAAAGTAAATGGCCTTAACCACATGACCACAGACACCTCCACAAATTAAGAAGGGGAATAGATTAGTGCAATAAATAGTCAGTCAATAGCCCCTAGATTGATGGACTTATTATGGTTTGAGGGCTTGTATAGATGTTAAAAGCATGAAAAAAGGTGCATAAATTAGCACTATTCTAGAATGACAGTATATGTATATTCTGTGTTTCATTATCTATTTTTGTATAAAATTTAAATAAAAAAAAATTGTTCTGCTTTCCATATGCTTGTGCTATTTCATTCGACAGTAATGTTTTGATAATGAAACAAACAGTTTCATTGCAGTAAGCTATTTTTAATCGTACCCTTAGTCACAAATTTAAAAACAACGAAAACTGTGGTGTGTGCTCAAGCGATTTTATCCATGAATGTATGTTAATTTATTTCATTATTGCTCCATTAATTTATGCCTGCATGCTCCGTTTTTATGCAAGAATACTTTTTGTATCTTATGATGAAATATTTTGTATGAAAAATCAAAATTATAATTACTTATTTTATTGTTTGCAGACCGGGTGGAGAGTACATACCAACAAGGGAAACATATGAACATTTGGTGAATGGGGTACGCTATGACAAATTACCAAGAGTATACATAAAAGCTTCATACCAGAATACAACAGCAAGTGCTCACACTTGTAAAAGTAATACATATATTTGTTTTGTCTCTTATTTATTTGTTCTATCATTCAAAGAAATAGTGAGATTATCCTACTTACCTAGACATAGGTTTAACACTTTGGTTAAAGGTTAGGGTGAGGTGTGTCTTCTGTCACAACTTCATATCTCATCAACCACAAAAAAATATTTGCTTGTTGCTTCACATAATTATGGTTCAAGATCATAATAATTTAAGATCATTTTTGAAGGCCCCTGACTGTTGCATAGATATTGACTGAATTGTGATCCTTTGTGAACATAAGTTTCTGGTCAAAGTTTTTTATGCAACATGAACTTTTACATGTCTCTCAGGGTAATAGTTTATTCTTGGGGTCTTACTCCACCTGGGGTGTCAACTTTTGGTTTCCACTCAATAACTTTAGTTTGCTTTGGCCTATTGACACCAAACTTGGTGTGTAGGTAGCTTATATCAAGAGGCAGCTTGGGATTGCTACCCAGGTGTCTGTGATCAAGGTCAAGGTCACTGTTACTAAAAATAGAAATTCAGTTTCCGCTCAATAACTTGAGTTTGCTTTGGCCTATTTACACCAAACTTGGTGTATGGATAGCTTATATCAAGAGGCAGCTTGGGATTGCTACCCAGGTGTCTGTGATCAAGGTCAATGTATTTAGTTTTCATGTTATAACTTGAGTTTGCTTTGACCTTTGGCACCAAACTTGCTGAGTGGCAGCTTTTGATTGCCACTAAGATATCTGGGAGCAAGTTCAAGGTCATTTGCTTACAATAGAATTTTCAGCTACTACTCAATAACTTCAGTGCTTTTTGACCTATTGATTGCTGTCACATCAAAACTTGGTATGTGAAAACCTGGTTTTCGTCGCATTGCGGCGCTTCTTGTCTATATTCTTTTCTTTTGAGTCCTCACACATTTCAAAGAAACTCCACTGAGGTTCAAAAGCCTGAAAGCATAAAATTTGAATTACTTACAAAGAGCAGCTGGTGCAATTTAATTAAGAAAGTAAGCAAAAAAAAAAAAATCAGAAATAAATTATAAAATGGTATTATTATGCAGTTCTCAGCCCAATTTTTCACAATAAGAATAATTACATGTATTATGGAAAGACAGAGTGAGCGATTGAAATTTTGCACATTATTGGTCAAGACCTGCATCATATGGGACATAAATCTCAAAAATTTATTTCAAGTCGCATCATGTCAAACACGATGTAGAGTCCCTTTAACAAGGTGCCTTTAACAGCGGTACATAGAGCTCTTGAATTAAAAGTGTGAATACCAATAATTATTGTTGTAAAATACCAATTGTTGTACATATGCTAAAGATAAACAACTGAAGAATCAATGTTTGGTATAACTTGAAAACATAAGACAATATATACTAAAGCCATTTATAGAAATACCTCATCATGAATTAATGTAAAGTACCTGGCCGGTATGTTTGTTTTTGAATAAAAAAAGGTAATTTATCTTGTACAATATTTATAAAGATATAGGTGTAATATATTTGATGAATTTACTTTTGATATTTCAGACCTATGTCTTTCCTCACAATCAGGGGTAAGTACTAATTCATATTTCTTTGATAGGTTGAAAAGAAAATAAAAACAAGTTATTTTAGCTTGACTTCTTGAAAGAAACAAAGAGCAATTGCTACAGTCATGTTTCAGTTGCTGTCCAAAAACTATAAAGCAGCATGCCTCCAGCTTCATGGACATGTTTATAAATTCAAGTATAACCTTGAAATTTTCGTTCAATTCTGTACACAAAAATAATTATGGTGGATTTTTGTTGTTGCTTGCTTTTTAACCCTTTACTATAGTGTTATTCTCCTGATGCATTTGCCTGTTAGTTCAACAGGGAGAGCAGTTGGTTAGATATCCAGTGGTTGTTGGTCCAATCTTTTGGCAGAGTATAATTTCTTTTTGACAATTGATCTCGGACACAGAGTCTTATGCTCATTTGTCTTTCACCCCTGATTCAGAAAGCATGTAGCAGTTGGTCGCTTTTGAAAGAATTTTTGTCATTACTGGTTAGTTGTTAGGTACTCTGGATAGACCTGTCACCATCCCAATATGACCAAACATGTGTTATAAATCTGTGACAAAAAAAACAAGAAAACAAGCTCTTTGACTTTTAATCAGGATTTCCAACCGAAAACTAGTAATTTGTTTATTATACTTTCTATGCAGATTTGTTTTCTATAATAAGAGACATGAAAAAAAGATCTTTTTGAAAAAATGATTGTAGAACATAATTATATACATGTATTTTCAGCATTAAATTGTTGAAAAAGGAACAATCACCTTTGGTGTGATAATTGGAATAGCCTGGAGCAAGCTTATCTTGTTGAGCGATGCAATGTTGTTTCGTTGAGCAATGTTTGACTTTAATGACCATTTTTTTACATTTCATAATTTTCATTAAGATTTCTAAATCAATATTCTGTAACAAAAAATAAATTATTTTGTTCTTTTCAGGGAAAAGTTGGATTTAAGCATGCAAAAAAGAAATCTTCAATTTGTGGACAGACAGTGGGTGTAGCTGTTGGGATGGTGAGTTGTTTAGTTGTTTACCTAGTGTTATAAAGGTGTAAATGTTATGCCCCTTTTGGAAGAAGTGGGGGTAATTTTGCTCTGCAAATGTTGGTTGATCTGTAGACCACATCATTTCCAATCAATAACTTAAGAATGCCTGGGCATAGAAACGTCAAACTTGGTATGGAGATTGGCCTGACTAGTAGATGAACCTTAATGTTTTGGGGTCACTAGGTCAAGGTAAAGGGGTTCTATTGTGTCATTTTTATGCCCATAGGAAAAGTCATTTATAATTTCTTTTGTCTGTAAGTCTATCATACTGTCCTGGACTGTGGGGCCATCCGTGTCCAGTTGTCACATCAATAGTAATCAGTTCCTAAGTTGTTATAAAATTTGTTATTTATAGGCAGATCTGATTGATACTGAGACAAACCAAATTGACATTTTGAATAGTTCAAATTCAAAAGTAAACTTTTACTTTAAACAACATCTCCTCATAAACTGCTAAGCCAATTTCATCCAAAATTCACAGGAATCTCAATAACTATTAGAGATTTTGATTTCAAACTTAACATATGCATGGAGGGTCATAATTGTATGTCACTGACCAAGTTCCAGAACTCTATCTTGCATTTAGGCTGATTTTTCTCCCCTTTTCTACTTAGTCTCTTGGTTAATGTTTACATGCAAGTTTTACATATCTCAATAACTATTAAAGATATTTATTTAAAACTTCGCATATGCATTTAGGGTAAAGATGCGCTAAATGTTAGCGTTATACTATAGGCGCGTCAATGAAAAATGACTCTTATTTCACATTTAACGGTCTTTATTTAGGGTATGTGATAAATAGAATATTAAATTTGTGTAAGTTCATTACTATATTTATTGCACTCGTTCAATAAAATAATATAATGCTTGCCAGAGGCTCACATAATATAATTTTATTCAACTTGTGCAATAAACTGAATATACACTCATTCAATATTCTCTATTTATAAAAATAGTGGGTGGAGTAATGAACAAATGAAACGATAAACTAGGTTCAAGGCATTTTGTGATTAAAAAAGTTACTGAATAACAGTTTGTTACATATATATTCCTTATCATCAACCACATCTTCTTGACAAGGTTCATAACTCTAGCACCAATATTTTCAGATTTATCTCCCCTTCAACTTAGAATTTTCCATAAAAATATTATTTTTACTGTTACTTCTTTATTTCTTTAGGGATCAACTTCATACTTCAAATATATGTTCCTTATCATCAACCAGATCTTATGTGACAGGGTTCATAACTCTTGCACCAGTATTGCAAGAATTATCTCCCTATAACTTAATTTTTTTTACTTGAAAAATGTTTTTTTTACTATAACTTATTTAGTTTTTAAGGTATCTACCTCAAACTTAAAATACATATTCCTTACCATCAACCAGATCTTATGTGACAAGGTTCTTAACTCTTGATGCAATATGTTCAGATTTATCTCCCTTTGAACCTAGAATTTTCTTTAAGAAAGATTATAACTTCTTTACTTTTTAAGGTAACTACTTCAAACTTCATATATATATTTGTTATCATTACAACCATATTGTGTGACAAGGTCTATAACTCTAGTGTGACTATTTCCAGAATTTCCCCCCCCCCCTTGAAATTGGAATTTATTTTTACAACTTTAACTTCTTGTCATAAGAAGAAATATATTCATATCTTAATTGATTTTTCTTTTATAGTTTTATCTTCCTCACTGCCTCCAGTATTTGAATAGTCGAGCTTCGTTGTCTCCTGTGACAGCTCTTGTTTATTTAGGGGTGGGGGTCTTTTAAAACTCTTCACTACAATGCTCTTCTGATGTGTTGCCTTGAGAAATAAGAAAAAGTCCAGTCCAGTGGTGGCATGTATGGTGGTGGCTCTTGTAACATTTCCACATTTCCTGATAATTCCTATTAAATAATGTGAAGTTGAAAGTAGTATACAAAGAATTAGTATTGTTGTCCTCTTATTGCAGTTTATGGACCATTTAAATGATATATTACTTCTTTCAGGATCTCATAAAAAAGGGTCAAAAGGATGTTCGTGTAATTGTAAAAGGACAAGGTTCTGGAAGATTGGTAAGTCCTCTTCTTAGCTCTCTATGACAACTTTTTTGCAGATTGGTCTTTTTCTTTCCTTCATTGTCACCTTTTAAGCTTAACAAAGCACAAGGTCATCAGTGTAAACTAATGTGATCACACTCTGCTAGGCATCTGTTGTTTCCATTTTTACATAATAACCACCTCCTAAACTTCTTGGCCTTAACCTTTACTCAGATGTGTAAGATGGTCACAGAGCTTATAAAAGAAAAACCTTTAAAACAACATCTTCTCACAGCTGAGTTTAAATCCCTTTACTTACTCCAGAGTGTTATCATGTGAGGAAGCTATCTAATTTGCTTACAAAAGGTTATTGGTTCTATGCATGAAATAATGCACAAAGGGACACTATGGTCTTAGACCACCAGTAAAGCTTGAGAGTCACCCAGATGACCATTATAGTGTTGACATGACTTAAAACCTGTCAAATTAATTCATTAAAAAGAATTGTCAGCAGCTACCATGTCCAGATGCTTGATACTGAAATGTGGCTTTGTGGTTCTTTACAAAGCTGTACAGTTAATGCCTCTGGTGTCAAAATTAGTCCTGTCCAATTGTAGACTTACTTAGCAATAATCTTAAAAAAAAAAACATCTATCAGAAAACATAAGATGTATACTATAATACATGTAAGTAATATTTATAAATAAAATCTTTTTTCTACAACAACAAGGCTTTGGGATTTGTTTTTTTGGCTTGAATGATCATTCGATAATCTCTCTGTCAAGCTTTTCAGGTTGCGTCCCTTGCCTCAATAGATTGCTTATTTTCTTTTGATTAAATACGCTAAACAGTTTAAATATCCTGTTTCCCAGTTTCAAAATCTGTAGACATTAATTTTAAGTTTCTGATACATTTTGTGTTTGGAAATGAATTTTGGCTTCAAGTGAAGGATTCTACTTTTACATATTTTAAGATAATATAAACCACATGAACAGGAATGTGTGTAGGTTATCCTTTAACATTAGATGGTATTCACCTTGATGAAATTGATGAAATGATCTGTGTTTTAAATTTTTTAGCTTTTAACGATTGATTTATAGCGGCCTTCAGCTTTTTTTGGGGGGGGGGGGGGTGGGGGGGGTGGTGGATAATTCTTTGTTGTTTCAAGTATTTCAGTGATTTTATCTTAGAAAAGTGCCTCATATCTTTGTTAAGCCATTTCCAAAACATTACCAAGAGAGCTTTTTATAACGCACGTTTCTTAAAAAAGATGATTGGGCAATACATCTTCTGCTTTACTAATTAAAATATAGAGAACAGAAGGGTAGATAAGAGGTAACAAGGTGTTTCCTTTTTGTTTATGTATGTTATCGTCAGCAAATTTCATTTTCCACCTTAATTCTTTTGATTTGTCAATTATATGAAATGGTTTATCTAAAAATAATATATTTAACCTTTAGAAAAGCTGAAGGTCGCTTTTAGTGGAGTGATATTTCTATAAAACCATGACATGCATCAAAATGATATAAAATTGCTGACTGTAATTTTCCTTCATAGTGATCATTGCAATTTTTTTGCCAAAACTTTAAAATTTTAACTTGTGCGCGGAATGCTGCGGTTTTAGCAAAGCTACACCCTGTGCCTAAATTGATGTGTAATTGGGGAATCTTGGGTCTTCCTTAAATACATTTGAAGTAAACGTCTCCAGTACTGTCTAGTATTGAAGGAATCATAAGTTTATTATAGAACCTGTCTGATATTCATCAGAGCCCTTGGCTTAAGTCTCAGCATTTAGAGAATAGATCTAGACCAGGTTGTTTTTTGGTGCCAATATAGCAGCGATAGGTGGTAATATATCTATAGCGTGATGTTTCTGTGAAGCAGGTTTATAAAAAATGAAATTGGTTCATATTGCTGCAATTAAATACCATTTCCGTATATTACTGAAATACTGTAGACAGAGTCATGATATTAAACCTACATTATATCTCAATTATTGTTTGTTTCAGTCTTGTATGAAAGGTATTCAGCTAGCAGGTGTTAACATAGTTTCTATAACTGACAGAACTTTCCCTAGTATTACATCTAGACCAAGAAAACCACGCAGGTTATAGGTATGTATGATGTTATCCATCATTTGTTTTGTAGGTGCAATTTTTACTCACTTTTTCAGGGATAAGAAACGTCTTTTAAATTTGGAATATGCCTGTATTTAGGCTTTGTTTTTTAAAGAAAAAAGTCACTTGGAAGCCATAATATTAATAGCCGAGTTGTAAGTTATCACTTACTTTCGTTTACTTGCTTGTGTGTTTCCAAGTCAGTCTTTTGCCTCAGTGGCATAGTGGTTAAGGTCGCTGACTTGAAATTACCTTGCCCCTCAGTGCTGTCGGTTTGGACCCTGAATTTTATTTCATGAGAGGAAGCTTTCATGCTAGCTTACACTGATGCTACATGCTTGAAATAATAAACAAAGGAGTACCTTAGGAATGAGGTGTATAACTGTCATTTGGGCTTACACAAGACAACTAAATAAATAGCAAGTCCATCTTGAGCCCTCAAGCTGGCATAGGAGTATACTGACTATGAATAAATTAAAGATACACAGTACTTTTTACTCAATATAACTATACACTTATCACATTAATTCTTAACCTACGAAGACTTTGGTAAAAAGATTGGTTAATGTTGGCATTAGGACAGAGAGGGAACAATTTCTCCAATGCTAAAATTTCTCATAGAAATTTTAACCGAATATTCACAGATTGTAATCAAGTGACCTGACACACATAAGAATTAGTGATTTGATCACTTTTGATGGAATAATTGCTCTTTGTTTTCCAGGTTGTTTCCAGAAACTGACTTTTACTGTCAAGGTCAAATTATTGATATTTGCTTAAATTGTCATACCATTGTTATTTATTTATTTATAAATTTGATTCATTCTTAGAAAGGTATGATTAATTCAAATGTGACCTTGACCCTTTAAGGACCTTGACGTTCAAGGTCAAATAGGAAATATGATTCTTTTTACTTTTTACAAGAAAATGATATTTTCTTGGAGTACTCTTTACTATAATATTCTTCATCTGATGTGTTTGACTTTAGAATTAAGAAAAAGTTGAGTGTGGCAGCCACTAGTGGGTGACTCTTGTTTACATTGTCATCATAATTATTATTTATATTGTTTTATTTTTTAGATTTTGCATCCCATAACTGCCGGAGAAACACCTATTTGAAAGATGTGAACCAGCATACTGTTTCAATTTTTATTTAAAGTTTAGAGGTTCTTGAAAGGGATATCATTTTTTGAAAGCTTTTGCAGACCACATATTAAAGGTTTCATTCAAGCTAATGCTTGTTAATTTTTAAACAAGAATTTCCTGAACTGCCAGTCATAAAGAATAAACTACATAGAAAAAACTGACATAAATCGGTTTGATGAACTTTGTTGTTTACTATTAGCATGTATTAAGTATTGAAAAAAAAATCTTATGATGATAAAGGTTGGAAATAAATTATGATAAAAAGCACAGTTGTATAGTTTTGGTGTTTATTTATGTTCCTATATAAGGATCCTGGGATCCTCTCTCAGCCACCTGTATTGTCATCAAAAAGGCTTTGCTGGGGCATGCACCCACCTTAAAAAATAAGATCTTGATCGTCACTGTCGCAATTTTAAGGTATCCCTAAACAGAATTTCATAAGCTGTAACAGAACATTTCTTCTGGGGGGTCATATCTTATTCAGGCTATATTCTCCCGTATATCCCGTCAGAAACTCGAATAATATTATATACAATACTCTTGATATACTTTTCCTAGCCAAGTAGCACTACAGGTATTGACATCATTTGTAAAACAATGTTTGTACATGTCCGTTAATTCTAAACCATATATTTAATGATCTCATTCGCATATGAATTCCTATTGAAACAGTATATATATAATCATGGAACACAAACAACTGTAAATAGTCTTTAGTATGCACAGAAAACAAAGATGTATTTCCTAAAACTAGATTAGTTGCAGTTATAATTTCATTTGTTTCACCTTTAATGGTGGTTGTATCAAGGCAGGTAAAAGCATAGAACAAAATGAACTATACACAATAAGTCTACAACAATAACATTCATCAGTTACTGGAACCTTAGAGAGGGATGGCTCATGCTGGGATGGGGAATTTCTTTTACTAAACACTTTTTATTTTCACTTATAAAACTTATTAATTGTAAATAAAAAAGAAAACCCTATCCCCTTAAATATTAAGACAAAGGAAAGGCCTCGATAGAGTGCCAATTTTTAACAAACTTCTGTGAAAACTGTGACTGGCACTGCTACAATATTATTTTTACAAGCATATTGATTCAATACTAAAGTAATGTTTAAACGTCTGGTGAAGCAAGACGACTTAAACCTATCCTGGAACTGAAATGTTTTCATTTTAGCTCTGTTATAATTTATAAAGAGATAAACATCATTATTATAATGGAGAAACATTAGAAATTGTTACAATTTTTCAATTATTCAAGGTATTGTTTTTCCCAGCGGTGGGCCTTTATGAACGCAATAAAAATAGCAAAGATTTAAAAGCATCTGGGTTCCTTTTTTCCATATCGAGAGCTTTAGAAATTACTGTAAAATTAGCTTAATCGGTTTTCCACACGAAAGAATCAAAAGTTCCTGGTGGTTTTCAAATTCACAGCAGTCCATTGCAAGTGATTTGAAGTGAGTAAATGTAAACAGCTCGGCCTCGGTTAGACACACCTGACACGGGATTATTTTTTTTCAACAAAATTTGTTAACCATGGTCTTAAATGTCAGCTGTACAAATAAGCATATTAAAAACTTCTGACATGAAGTTTTAAGATTACAAATATTTCAATTATTTATCAAGAGAATAACATTTAAATTTATTGTTGATATGAAATATTTCTTTACTCTCTTAGCTCACTTTTTACTTTGATGTTTCGTTAAAAAAAAGTATGTGTCAGTGGTGTGAAAAGCAGAGAAATTTTCAATGTAAACAGGGGTAATCCTCTTTGATGTCATTTTCTGAATTGTGTTTTATGTGACAGGCAATTCATTATCAAATCACACTTTAGTATGAAGGTAAGTTAAGATGCCATGTGTCTAGTCTGTGGAAAATTCAATACCTAAATTTTCTCATCCCGGCTTGAATTCTGTATAGGGAAAACTTCTTCAATACTATTGAAACATCATGTCGTGCATATACATGTATCTGTATCAAATTTATATACCTTTGCAAAACGGGCACCTACTTCACAACATAATTTGTAGTTTTATCATTTGTAACTCAATTTTGAAAATTTAAAGTTTTTTAATTAAGAAGAATGATATTTTAGTGCGAATATCTAATTAATTTCCAGAAAATACATTCCATAGACCTGTTGTCATCGTCGATAAAGAAATACAAGGGGTAAAGTTCCTCGGCGCTGAACATAAAATGACTGAACGAAACGCATACCTTACTTGCAGCTTAACCATTTATAATATAATTTTAAATTCAGAATACAGTTTTCCTAATCATGTATAAAAATAGGAATAATACTTTTTTTTCAAATACCGATTTAAGTTTCAAATAATAAAGCTCATCTTTTCTCATCGATTATTAAGAAAATTAATACAATAAAATCGGCGCGTAAAAAACATAAGTAACTAGAACTATCGCTGAATGCGATTCATACCCCCACCAATGTCCTTGACAGAAGACGACTTGGAAAGGTGGTTAAGGGAATAACTTTAGTGGCACAAATACATATACATAAAAAGAAATTATCTCTGGTGAAAAAAGACTAATTGTACAGGTAATAGTATAAATATATATTGTCAAATCATGTTCGAAACAGTTACAAATAACCTTTCATTTTCCCAATGTACTAAACATTTTCTAAGTCAATTTTTGACCTTCAAGTGTGGACTTAAGCTGGCACAAGGGTATGATGGGTTCTGCACATTGCCCAGTTGGGGTGAACATTTGAGTAAAGTTTAAAGAAAATCCTTCCATTAGTATAGAATTTATAGAGCGAACACAACTTATTGTTTGGTATTGATTCTATGTAAATTTAAAGACTTAAAAGGGGGCATAACTTTGGTAAAATGCAATAAAGAGTTATGAAACTTGACCAGCATATCTTTATTGTGACACTTCATATATATTTTTCAGTTTCAAGCAAATACCTTTTCTAGTTTCAGAAATATTCAAGTACATGTTAAAATTTAAGAACATTTTCTAAGTCAATTTTTGACCTTCAAGTGTGACCTTGACTTTAAGACGGCAAAAGGGTGACATGGGTTCTGCACATAACCTTGTTGAGATGAACATTTGAGCCAAGATTGAAGAAAATCATTCAATTAGTGTAGGACTTGCAGAGCGGACTTGACATACTGTGTTTGATATTTGACCTTTAATTGTGACCATGACCTTGAGCTGACACATGGGCAACATGGGTTTTGCACATTCCCTTGTTGAGGTGAACATTTGAGCCAAGTTTGAAGAAAATCTTTCAATTAGTGTAGGACTTATATGTGAGCGGACATGACATACTGTCTAATATTTGATTGTTTGATATTTATCCTTCAATTGGTATAGGATTTATAGAGCGGACACGGAAATGGAGACGGACGGACGGACCGACCGACTGACCGACCGACGGACGGACGGACGGGCGCGATAAAGCGAATCCATTATAGCCCCCCCCCCCCCCCCCCCCACACATTTTGTGGTGGGGGTATAATAATAACGACATTGTCGCAAATTGTTGTTTATTATAAGTAACAAAGTAAGCCATGCAATTTGCGCATATGAAAAAAGTAACCATCTCAATTAGTTTCGAACTCACGGGAACATGTTTATAAGCATGCTAAGGCAACACTAAAACACACATATGTGGGTGCGATCACGTGTTTCAATGTATTTGATACACCTTTTTCGGAATTTGCAGATGCTTAAAACAGGTGCCAAAAATGCGACCGAAACAATGAAGCCTTAATAGAATTTTTATTACAATTTCCATTTTCGTGGGGCCTTTGAGTGACCTCTGCTCTCGACTTAAGTTGTATACAAGGTCACTTTTGCGCATTCATTATGATAAAAAAAAATCGCAGATGGACGTTACTTACGTTAGTTTACTTAACGCATAATTTAATAGCTAAACCAATGTGCAGCCTGCAATGAAAATACAGCTGCGTCGTATCATATTTTATTTTAAACTGCGTCGTATCATTTCGTACAAATTATTATTTTCTTGGCAAATAAACATTTCTTTTTAATGACATTTTAGTAAATGATGCAAAATTATATGTTGAGGTTTATGATGAACTCTGAAACGAGCCTATGTACATATAAAATTCATGAAATGGTTGTTAAATGTTAAAATGTCCGCTGCAAGATCTGCTGTTTATGGTGAATCGGGTAGAGTCCTTCTATATATAGGTGGATAATAAAGATGGTAAAGTACCTTATAAAATCAAAAGAAATTCCGCCTTTTTTAATTGTTAGAATATTAACCCGCATAAAATGTCCAATTTCAAGATACATGTACATATTTACTCTTGCTAAATTACGTTTGCCATCGTCTCATTAACTTTTTATTGAAACTGATAGACATAGAAACACCAAAAGAAATGATAGGAAATGTGAACTATGCTAGTGCTGTGATATTGAAGATGAATTTCACTTAACTAAATTGTTACAATCTACAAATCTAAATATTCTGAATAAATGAGCTACATTTTTTATAATTGTAAAAAGGCATTTTATTTTCGAAGGATTTCATTAATCCTTTGTTAATTGACGTACAATTTAACTCATGTTATAGCGTTTGTTCAGAATGGTTTGTTAAATATAATACAACGAAATTGAACTTTAATTATGTACAGCAAAATGTATCAAGTTCAATTTCATTGTATCACCCCCCCCCTCCTTTATCCTGTGATACATTCAATAAAAAAAAACAAATAAAAAAATGATCTGTTCTATATCATTTGCTAAATCTTACTATGTGGTTATATAAATGTAGGTTTGATGTATTTTTATGACTATACAAATTGTTAAAGGGAACAACAATTATTTGGCTTTTAAATTTCAGTCATAATTCGTCTGTGAATAACTGGAAAATATGCTCAAGATTGTATGTAAATTATGCTTGTCGGTACCAGTCCGAGTTGCAAAACCTTGTCAGTTAAGCCGCCCGAAAATTATGGTGATTTATAATGGCAGCAACATCTTTTTTTCTCCGTGATGCATATATATAATGGACTCATTGGCCTTCTGTGCATCAAAATAGAAAACATCACTAAACCGACTTAACGTACATGTTTAGTATCATTCAGTGTGAATTACTCCTTTTAAAGACATGAATGGTGGCATGCTCAGATTAAGTGCCAGGGTGGATGGACCCTAATTAAGCCTAGAATGTATATATACATACATGTATACTTGCGATATCTTTTATCAAGCAGATGTCAATATTAACATGATTAATGCGTAGAAAATATTTTCTTTCAATTAATATATCTGTTTCTTTTTCGCATTTTCTTTGGAAGTCAAAATGCTAGATCTACATGTACAGTACTTGGTTTACATTTGCAACTTTTATGACAAATAATTTCAAATAATCTGAGCGCTCACTTTCTGCAGGTGATAATCACCTTACATGTTATAAACCCATTATTTAAACGTTATAAAACTCATGTTTGTCCCTAATCTATCTAAAATTTATTCGTTTCTGAAGCTTAAAATGTTCCTTTAAAATTATGGTCAAAAACTGAAGAATAAGTTTTATGTGTGTGGAAAAATGACATACTGGTCAGCAAAGCCTCTAAATAATGTTGCGGGAAAGAAAGAAATTTAACAATTATGTCGATATGATGGTGCCAGTCTTTTTATATCAAGTTTAATTAATTATAATATGAAATATAGATTTCATTAGAATCATTGAGAAATAGGAGCATGCATGGTCGGATATATATATATACATGTGCACCCATTCAACATGAAAATTGCTTCCCACTAGGCCTAACTTTTAGTTCTGTTTAAGGCGGCATACAAAATTTTATATTCTTAAGTGCATGTACTTGGATTATCAATCAAAAGATTAAAAACAACCCGCTTGTAAATAAGTTTGAAATTCGCGCTGTTTTAATATTAGATTTTAACCAATAGGATTTATGCTTACTTAACTTCCGTTTGCAACCAAAACACCCCGCCCACACCACGTTGTGCAACAGAACAGAAATTTCTCTTCGGGATTCCAAAGAACCATGAAAGATGTCGCGTAAAAGTGAAATGGATCGCACGGACCGAACACCTTAATGTGTTAAAAATTGAATTAAATATACGGGGATAATGATTGAATTAAAAATTACATTAAAATCTTACGGAGAATAGGATATTTACAACACGTGTTGGAACTAAACAAAGAAAGGTCATATCAACAAAAACATCGCTCGCTCGAAGGGCGTGACCTGATAGTTTTAAGGTTTAGATTTTGTTTCAAATGTGTTTTTTGTAATTATGAATTTAACAGAAAGTGAATCGGTGGATATGGAGGTAAACCTAGCCGCAGAATGCTTGGTTGCCATGTCCAAATCGTTTGCTACCGAAATTAGGTCAACAGCTGATCGGACAATGGCGGAAAACGTAACTAAGACCAACGTAGATTCGACATTCGCACTAGCCAGGATATTAACAGATTTAAAGAGAGAAAAACAGGAAAATATTCCTGATGACCATAGTGACTATCCTGCAGTGGATTTACGGACTGACACTAATAATGTGGATGTTAGATTACCAAAATCAAAAACTGTAAATAAGTCGCGAAAACAGAAGACGAAAACCACGCCCACTTTTGAGTGCGTGAGAGTACAAAGATTTGACGAAGATTTAATTGATGCTCATGGAAAGAAAATGCATAAGTGCCATTACAAGGGATGTCATAAAGTGTATGGGAAGAGTTCTCATTTGAAAGCTCACTTAAGAACTCATACAGGTAATTTGATAAGTCAATGAATATATTTGTTATAAAATGACTAATTGGGCTACTTACTTATTTTCTACTGTAGATTGTCACCTGAATATAAAAAATGAAAGTTTGTTATATTTGATTTTCTTGCCCATAGTGAAACTAAAAAGTAAAGTAAAAGAGCAAAATGGAAAGCATGGTAATGTTGGACAGGTACCTTTCTGTGTTCTGTCAAAGTTTTGTACTCAACTATACTGTAGATTGACAGATTTGCATTTTGTTTGTAAAAGAAAATGCAATTTTGGACTGAAAACTGCTAGGATACCAGTACAGTGTACACAGTGAACATTACATAGATTTATTAATCTTTACTTTCTGAATTTTAACTTAAACACTCATACAATATTTATTTTTTTATAACCCTGAGGCTGATGAAGACTCTAAACGTCGGTTATCATCATTTAATAAACCTTAAAATTTATCCTGTGTTGATTGTTTGTTCCACTTGTATCATTTTTCTTTCTATATTTTGCAGGTGAACGCCCATTTCCATGTCCTTGGCCTTCATGTGGAAAACGTTTTGCGAGATCTGATGAGTTGGCACGACATATAAGAACTCACACTGGTATGTAGTTTAAAGATCACTTGATGTCATTAATGTCTCTAGACTAAAGACTTGTGGCCATATAAGTGTTAACTTTTATCTTTCCTCATAAATTATATATATATTTTTATATGCCCATTTGAAAAAACAGGTCATATTTTAGTTTCCCCCCTGGCGGACGGACGGACAGACTTAGTAGCAACCAATTTTTGTCCGCTTGGAGCATATATATCTCCGACACATATTGAGGAATTTTAATGAAACTTCATAGAAATGTTCACCACTATGAGAAGCTGTGTCGCTACCAAAGTCAAGGTCACATAGAGAAGTCAAAGTTTGTGTACAGTGACCATCTAGTCATCATTTATTGATGGATTGTAACATAAATTGTAACTATCATGACTAAAAGTGTGACACATGTAATTTAGGTTAATATTTGCAATGTCAAGGTCACTAGAGATGGTAAAATATCCAGATTTTGTTTGGATATAGCCCAGAGCATATTTCTTATATGCATATCTATAATGCCAAATGTCCCATATTCTCTTGTTTCTTATTCATATCTTACATTCTGATGCTTGTTTATTAACGTCACACTTAAAACAAATTCAACTTATTGTAAAACATATTCAACTTATTCTTATATTCATATTATTAAATCACCTTTTTGGTGACTTAATTTTCTCTGTTTTAAATACATGATTCAGTGCATTATGCAAAACATAATCATCATTTTAGAATAACTTATATTGTGAAGCTACTATAGTGTAAATGTTTAAGTTTACAAATACTTAAGTATTATGCAGCACAGCACATAAAATACAAAATATTTGTGTTCCCTCTAGTTCACATGACTTCATGTCTTGTGTATTTCTTGTAACTCGGTAATGAAGTAACTATCTTATTTTCTAATGTTTGGTTAACCTGTTTAGAATATCATTAAACAGCAGTAAAGGCCCATTATGCACAATCAGTGTTTTTATTTTTGTCTTCAAAGCATTTTCATTTGATGTATTTCTATAGTTTTTAAAAAAATACTTTATGGCCAATTACCTAATGCATTTTTTTCTCCTATTGCCTTTTGGCAATTATTGATTTAGTATTTTGTATGGCAGTAAAAATGCTTGTTTGTTTACATTTTGCAACTTTTACGATGCATTATCTCACATTAAGCGCTACTTTCTTCAGGTGACAAGCTTCAAATGTGCTCTAAATAAAACCATTATTTAAATGTTATATAATTCATGTATGCCCTTTCTAAAGAAGTAAAATCTTTGTTTCTCTGGCATAATGAGCATTTAAATGATGCATAATAGTTACATGTATGTATTAAATAAAAACTAAAATGATAAATGTATTTATTTTCCACTACAAATGTAGTATGTATTTTGATAAAATGATTTTATTTCTTTATTTATAATTTTTTCAGGTGAGAAAAAATTTCAGTGCCCTCTCTGTGATAAAAGATTTATGCGGAGCGATCATCTAAACAAGCACGCCAGACGTCATCCAGAATTTCGACCGGACATGTTAAAACGCGGACGTCACGGATCCGGTAATAGCTCTCCAGGATTTGGAGACAACAAGTTTTGGACACCGATTGAGGCAGAACGCGAGAGGCATGGTTCAGGGAATAGCATGTTGAGTCTAGGTAGTACGGGAACAAGATCTGTGACCCCACAGTTTGAACTGGGTAGTGATGGTGTATCCAATCAATCAAGTCCCACAACATCACCGTAATGTTGCAAATCTATATGTGCAAGAGACTTTTATAAGCCAAGAGAATGCCTATCTTTCATTATCAAAATATGACAAAGTACATTTTTATTTGAAAATAGTAAAATATAACTTTACATTGCATGTCTGATGAGCAACTAAGAAAGGCAACTCTTCTGTTACCTTAGGAAGTAACTACAGAGTTGCTGCCCCTTAGTAGTCAGTTGACAGCTGCACTATCTGAAACATTGTAACAAATTAATTATGTAAAGCTCAGATTTCAGCACTTCACAGCTAACTTATGTTATACACACTCAGCTATTGATATGATGATAAATTACCATTTATACCATATCATCATTCATTACCTGAAACTTACAATAGCATATAATTGTCTACTATGTCTACATGGAACAATTACCATATACATGTAGATATAAATCAAGTCACTCTAAAGATAGGAGATAATAATATGTAAATTTTTCTGTTCAATGTCTCCCATTCTTTCTTTCAAAATAAACTAAGGTCTTTATCCAGCAGGGTAGCTGGAAAGTTGCCATATTGACCTGCATGTCTTGTTTTGACTTGTAACCCAACCCCACAAAAGTAAACAAAACATTGAAATAATGAGATTTTTATATACATATATAAGGGATATGATTACGTATATTTTCATTGAAGATTTTGTTATAAATTGTTTTAAGGTTTATTTCATTATAACAGGGTGTTTAAAATTGATTTTGTTTTATATTGTTAATTTATTATACACCATAAAATATTTGATTAGGTAATGGCATTTGATGTGGTAAAACATGAAAGTTTATCAGGATCCATATTTAATTCTCCTATGAAAGAATATATGTAAATGAAGGTCTTTTGAGTTGATGAAATATTCAGTTAAATTTCGTCTGTTCAGAATATAAGTCATGTCAATTGTCTATCACATAAAATACTTTAGACAAAGCTCAATAGGCAATTATTTTTTTAAAAACGATCTGATCAAGTTGGTATGTTTTTTTTTAAGAAAAAAACCAACTTTATATGTAAATGATATACATTTTCAAACATTTAAAAACAACATCAACAACTGAAACATTTCAGATACAAAAATGTTTGTTCAGTGATATGTTTTTCCAAGAGATTTTTCATTTTCACTTAGCAAATATGGCTTCCTAGCCATGGTTCTTATCTGTTCCTTGTTTTATCAGCAACTGTAATCTTCTCGAAATATATTTGACTTTTGATGTCAGAAGCCCATTAGAGACTTAACCTATTGGTAAAATGTTTGTATAATACTTGATGTTTATAGATACATAATATTACTGTATGGGATTGTTTCATATTTTAATCTTGTTTGTGTTTTTGTTTTATTTGTCTGAGTAATCCCATTTGAATATAATCCTATTAATACTTGATGATCTCTGAGGGTTGTAGATAATCATTATTTTCTCTATGGTAATTTAATTTGATATTGAATGTTATCATTTATATATATCGTTATCATCATCAGTTATCATCACTGGTTGTCATCATCATTAAACTTATCATCATTATCATCATTGCATTGTTTTTCTCATGACCATTTGAATCATCCTATTCACAATTATTGATATTAATTTTTACTATCATTTGTTTATAGCATGTTTTATCATTTTTAGCTCACCTGTCACAAAGTGACAGGGTGAGCTTTTGTGATCGCTTTTCGTCCGGCGTCCGTCCGTCCGTCCGTCCGTCGTCCGTCCGTCGTCCGTCCGTAAACTTTTGCTTTAAATGACATCTCCTCATAAACCACTGAGCCAATTTCATCCAAACTTCACAGGAATGTTCCTTTGGTGGTCACCTTTAAAAATTGTTCAAAGAATTTAATTCCATGCAGAACTCTGGTTGCCATGGCAACCGAAAGAAAAATCTTTAAATATCTTCTTTTAAACAACCCTAAGAGCTAGAGCTTAGATATTTGGCATGAAACATCTTCTAGTGAGTGTCTACCAAGTTTGTTCAAATAAAAGCCCTGGGGTCAAAATTGGCCCCGCCCCAGGGGGTCATTGATTTTCCCCTATATGCATATAGTAAAAACTTAAAAAAAATCTTCTTTGAAAGAACCCAAAGAGCTAGAGCTAAGATATTTGGCATGAAACATCTTCTAGTGAGTGTCTACCAAGTTTGTTCAAATAAAAGCCCTGGGGTCAAAATTGGCCCCGCCCCGGGGGTCATTGATTTTCCCTATATGCATATAGTAAAAACTTAAATTTTTTTTTTTAAAGAACCGTAAGAGCTAGAGCTTAGATATTTGGGCATGAAACATCTTCTAGTGAATGTCCACCAAGTTTGTTCAAATAAAAGCCCTGGGTCAAAATTGGCCCGCCCCGGGGGTCATTGATTTTTCCCTATATGCATATAGTAAAAACTTAAAAAAAATTTTTTAAAGAACCGTAAGAGCTAGAGCTTAGATATTTGGCATGAAACATCTTCTAGTGAATGTCTACCAAGTTTGTTCAAATAAAAGCCCTGGGGTCAAAATTGGCCCCGCCCCAGGGGGTCATTGATTTTCCCTATATGCATATAGTAAAAACTTAAAAAAATTTTTTTAAAGAAACCGTAAGAGCTAGAGCTTAGATATTTTGGCATGAAACATCTTCTAGTGAATGTCTACCAAGTTTGTTCAAATAAAAGCCCTGGGGTCAAAATTGGCCCCGCCCCGGGGGTCATTGATTTTCCCTATATGCATATAGTAAAAACTTAAAAAATTTTTTTTAAAGAACCGTAAGAGCTAGAGCTTAGATATTTGGCATGAAACATCTTCTAGTGAATGTCTACCAAGTTTGTTCAAATAAAAGCCCTGGGGTCAAAATTTGCCCGCCCCAGGGGCTCATTGATTTTCCCTATATGCATATAGTAAAAACTTAAAAAATCTTCTTTTAAAGAACCCAAAGAGCTAGAGCTAAGATATTAAGCATGAAACATCTTCTAGTGAGTGTCTACCAAGTTTGTTCAAATTAAAGCCCTGGGGTCAAAATTGGCCCCGCCCAGGGGGGTCATTGATTTTCCCTATATGCATATAGTAAAAACTTAAAAAATCTTCTTTTAAAGAACCATTAGAGCTAGAGCTTAGATATTTGGCATGAAACGTCTTCTAGTGAATGTCTACCAAGTTTGTTCAAATAAAAGCCCTGGGGTCAAAATTGACCACGCCCCGGGGGTCATAGATTTTCCCTATATGCATATAGTAAAAACTTAAAAAATCTTCTTTTAAAGAACCCAAAGAGCTAGAGCTAAGATATTTAGCATGAAACATCTTCTAATTGGTGTCTACCAAGTTTGTTCAAATAAAAGGCCTGGGGTCAAAATTGGCCCCGCCCGGGGGGTCATTGATTTTCCTTATATGCGTATAGCAAAAACTTAAAAATCTTCTTTGAAAAAACCCAAATAGCTAGAGTTTAGATATTAAGCATGAAACATCTTCTTATGGGTGTCTACCAAGTCTGTTCAAATAAACAAATAAAAGCCCTTGGGTAAAAATTGGCCTGGGGGTGGGGGGGGGCTACATACAGGTGAGCGACCTCAGGGCCATCATGGCCCTCTTTTTTCATTACTACATGTATATACACCACCAACATGTCTCCCATGTCATACAATGTCTCATTCCTTGTTTTTAAAGTACATGTACACTACAAGCAATGTCATCACTCAACACTCCAATTGTTTTATATAATGTCAACACAGTTAAATTTAAGACAGGTCAAAGTAACGTATCCCTACAAAGTCATACAATATCATTTATATAATCATACAATGTTTGCATTGTCATATCAATATTTACATTGTCATAATCTTAACATGCAATGTCATAATCTTAATTTACATCATCATACAATGTTATACAATGTCAAAATTTTAATTTACATTGTCACACAATGTCATAATCTTAATTAACAATGTCATACAGTGTCATTCCCCTTTATTACAAAGTATCCATATCATCTTTTTTATTATCAAAGATATGACTATTAAAGCTGCCTTCAGCCTTTGTAAAGGTTAAATTGTTGAATGACATTTGGATGATTTGCTGATGATAAAACACAAATAAAAAGGAAACCCCTGGATACCTCTAATCTACCGATCCACTCTGTATATGTAAATAATTGATCCGTTTCCTGATCTTCAGTTTTTGGAAACAAAGGTCACTGACGCACTATAAATAGCTTTTTGGGAAGCTGTTTTGAAGTAGGCTTACAGTGATATGATGCACTTTTCCAAGATAAAATTTGTGCAATACTTAGTTTGAAACAATGCACTGCACGCTGACTTGTGGTTGTAAACAATCGGTAATGTTTATGCGTCCCCAGGCAAAATTAAGCGTACGTGGAATCCTTGCTCTGAAATATTTGCGTCCAGCGGCAATAAACCTGCGTACCGGGACGCCAAAATAAGCGTCCCCGAGAACCCTGTGCAGAATTGATTTTCTAACAAAAAATAAAAACTGAAGGCTGCTTTAATGGTATCATCATGCATGTATTTGTCTTGAAAGTCAAACAGTGCATAGATACAGCGTTAATTTCTTTTTTACAAAGGATATACTTTGTCTTCTCTTTTTCATCTGCCTTGTATCCAAGGTCATACAATAAAGATTTCATCAGGCAATAACATGACCAAATCCCTATTTTAACAACTGCAAAATAAACATGTATATTTTTACACTTGTGAAATAAAGAAATTAGCCTCACTATGACAAAACCAACATTGTGCGTTTGCGACCAGCATGGATCCAGAACAGCCTGCGCATCCGCCCAGTCTGATCAGGGTCAATGCTGTTCGCTATCAGTTTCTCTACTTGAAATAAGGTTGGTAAGCAAAAACATCATGGTTGGTTTTGTCATGGCGCGGCTCAAATATGTAAATATTATGTCATTCATACTTTATAACATAAGACTTCATCCACAGTGATGAATTATTTTCTTAAAAAGTTACCATTTATCATTATTCTGTGATCATATTGTAAATAGAAACCATTTTGTATTTTTATCATTCGTTATGTGCTGATATACTGACATGGTACGTTATATGTGCTTTATTGAATCTACAAGTGTTCTTACTTCATTTAATAATGAGCCGCATCACGACAAAACCAACATAATGGGTTTGCGACCAGCATGGATCCAGATCAGCCTGTGCATCCGCGCAGTCTGATCAGGATCCATGCTGTTTGCTTACAAACCCTATAACAAGTAGAGAAACTGATAGCAAACAGCATAAATCCTGATCAAACTGAGCGGATGCGCAGGCTGCTCTGGATCCATGCTGGTCGCAAACCCATTATGTTGGTTTTGTCGTGACGCTGCTCAAATATTACAATATTTTTGCATACTTTATCAAATGTTACAATTCTGTTATATAAACTAAAATTTACTGTGTTCTAAACTTATCTCTCAAATCAATCTGTCATATGCATTAACTAATGAGTTAATATTTGGATATGGCGGGAAGCGTTGTTAAAGGATTTCTACTGAGGTTCAAAAGCCTAAAAACATGAAAGTGTGATTACTTACATAGATCAACTTTGGTACTTGAAACAGAAAGATATACAAAAGAATATTATATACTCGGGTAAAAATAATGTATTATAGCCCTATCTTAAGCCCAATATGGGTGAAAAGTGTTGCAACAATTTTTGAATTTTGAGTCAATATTTTGAATTAGAGTAATGACTCCGGAAAAAAGGACATAAGCCAATGATCTGAAATTTTGCAAATAAATTATTGGTTTAGACCTTCATCAAATGGAACATTAATTTCGAAAAAAATATTTTAAGTCCCGTCTTGTCAAAAAAGCCTCAGTGGAGTCCCTTTAATATTAGCAGTGAAAATGCCTTTCCAGTGCCACCTGCCTGCACTACTTCTCTAAACAGACCTAATATTGTTGGCTGTTCAATAAAATTGTGCATTTTGATATTGAAACTATATACAATTACAAATGGACAAACTTCAAAGGATTAAAGGGTAGGGTCTGTA